TTGGGTGGCAGAGATCAGGGAAAAGGCAGTTGGGATGAGGCAATAGCAGTGGCAGAGATCAGGGGAAAAGGCAGTGGGGACGAGGCAATAGCAGTGGCAAGCTGCTTGACCTCCCCACACCTGCAGTGGTGGGGAGGATGAATTAAAGATGATCCTCCAATAATTAGTTTCTACACATGGCAAGTTACACCAAATTTATAAATTTTCCATGTACAGAATCTAATTATTGGGGAGTCGTCTTAAATTCAGGGTTGCCAGATTTGAGTAAATATGGGAATTTGCACATTAAAACCTTCAGATTCTCTTTAAAAAGGGATGGCTTTCAGAAGGGGAACAATGAATCTACGCCCTTTATGATATAAGAGAGAGCCCAAAACAGTACATTGCATTTGCAGGGTTTCATGGCTCCCTACTTCAGTTTTATGCTTAAAATATAAAGAACAAAGTGCGACATTCCCTACTTGAGTTGAGAAACTGTTTGGAAAAAATCTGGGGTGGGACTTTTCTCAGTGCTGTTGAAGTGGGTATTAAGTCCTTAACAACGACAGTTTTTCTTCCCAATATCTGACTATAATGTATTCCAACAAAGCAAATAATAATAATAATAAAAAAGACATAAGGTTTTGAACATTTTGATTAAAACCAGGTCTTGGCTACTTAGGTTTTAGTCTGCTGTGCTGTTACAATCCTACTAGGTCCCCTGTCCTCCAGCTGAAAAGTGTAGATAAGTCCTCACATTTTAATGAAAGAAAAAAAATAGTAAATGAACTTTAAGAAACCTTATTCATTATAAAAAAGTGACATTTTAGCTTTCTTTGCAAGTCATTGTGTTGCTTCCAAAGCAGGTCAATTAAGACACCAGACCAACGACTAGAGTGACTTTGTATGAAGATGCAAGGCGTGTTACGCCAAACCAAGACAGCTGCATTAAAGCTGTATCAAAAAAATCTCTCCCATGGAGCAAGTTACCCCTTGGGCAGCTTCCTGTAAACGTTACTCCAACTACATCACTTTAAATAGTCACTTACGGTTCTACATTGACTTATAACAATAGTACTAACCCTCTTTTCAAGACTGGAGCAAAAGAGCATGCTTTCAGATTGCCCGAAGGTCTCCAACACCCTTAGGAAGTTGGCAAATCAGAAGGAAAAACTAGAGGAGATGGATATGTGGCCATGTGAAGGCATTGCATACAGGGCCTACTAGCTTCCAGATCTGTTGGGTCACGGCTAAAGAACCTTCCTGTATTCGTACAGAAAGCAACCAAGGATTTGGGGTGTGGGGATGGGGATGGAAGAAAAATCTGTGGGGGAGGAGGTTATACCTTTGAACTCTGCTGTTGAGTTAAAAAAAACCCCCAAAAAACACACTATCTGCTTAAGACTCCCCAGTGTCCTTTATAGGTGACAGACCCCAGGCAGAAAGGTTTGCATGGGATTAAGAGCCAGCTTAGGTCTCAAACCCAAGATTCAGAGTCAGTTCAAGAGTCTGGAGAAACCTTCCCCCAAAACAGCACATCAATTTAACAGTTGATGGAGGGAACCACACATATGCACACACGCACGCACGCGCCAACAACGACATAGTGGTGCTTCTTGAGACACTACATTCAACTACAAACAGCCACCAAGGATATTAATACAGTCCCACAAGTCAAGAGTACATCCCTTGAAAACTGGTATGTAATAGGAAGAAAGAAAAAATGAAAAACAACAACCCGTGGGCTCGTGCTTTTTTCTGTTGCTTTATTAAACGCAAAGAAGACCTAAGAGCTGCATTTATCCTTGCCTTCCTCCCCGCTCCCCTCGCTGCCTGCTGCACAAAAGGAGAGGGGGCTTCTGCGTCGTATTCTTACCTAAGAAAGATCAGTAATAGCAAAATTTGTGCCCCCCCCCTTTTTTTTAAAGGACACTTCCTCGAAGGACCAGAGACCAGTAGCTGCTTCTTCCAGATGCTGATGTAGATACAGAGCACCTACTATAATTTTACATTGAAGTGGTTGAGCCAGACAATTGCATCAGGACCAGCAGAGTGCATCGCTGTGATCCCTCTCCTTCATATTTATGGACTGAGTTGTTATATGTTTCATGGTCTGTTCTGAGTGACCACAGGCACGGCCTGGAGAGTTTTAAATTTTCCATTTGTGCATCAGTAGTTGAATCCCTCTGGACCTTACTCTAAAGCAGTGCTGCTCATCCTACAGGCCAGATGAGTTGGTTTGCAGGTCTGATTTAACACAGGGTCAGTGTGCAGGTGCAACCCGGTGCCCCAGCCCGACCCTGTGTGCCGTATCGGGAAGGTGGGGCCCCACCATCCAGCCTGATGGGCTCCTCCTGGGTCCTGAAATTTGGCAGCAGGGAAGTGGTGGCAGCATTAATTGCCAGGGATTTGGGATCTGCAGCACTTAACACTGGCACTGCTCCCAAACCACTGCAGGTGGGATCCTGCCACTGGTCCCCTGCTGTCAAATATTCAGACAAGCTGAGTATCACTGAGGAAAAGAAAAAAGGCAGGGGTGTCAAACACTGCTTACAGGTCAGATCCAGCTTGCTGAGCAACTGTAAGTGGGGGGCATGGCCTGCTGTGGACTCCAGAGCCCCTGGGCCTCAGTGGACGTGGCTATCAGCAGCAGGAGGACGATCGAGGGCTGTACGACAGCCTTGCTCACCCTGTAGCCACCAGTCTCTCTGCCACTTGCCCTGCTGTTGTGGGTCCCACTGCAGCAACCACCATTTCCACCATCGTCCTTGCCTCAGCCACCAACAGTCCTGCTGGTCCCCATCACCCTATTCCATGCCCCATGTCGCAGCCAGGTGTGTGGTCCAGATACAGCTTGGAGTCAGGCTGAGTTTGACATCCCTGAGATAAGGAATTTGAGCCCTTATCAAAAAGTTGTTTCTTTCCAACTGTTTGTCAGGCACGTTTACCAGGTGTCAGTAATAACAACCTAAGATCCAGGGGGTTTGCAAAGTCTGCTTAAAAGCCCTTTCCTAAGGGCCAGCAATCCCTTTCTCAGTGCCTTCAGTGGGATTATCCGGCATTCTCCTGTTACCAAGCATCTAATTCAGTGGTCTCCAACCTTTTTAAGTACAAGATCACTTACTGAATTAAAGTGCAACCCAGGATCTACCTGTGCGCTGCACTTCGCACCTCGCTGCAGCTGCCCTGAGAGCAGCACGACGCCACGTGCGTCCTGCTGCAGGGTGGGCAGGTGGTGCGGCACACATGGCATTGCGCCGCTTCTGGGGCAGCTGCAGCAGGCAACAAAGTGCAGCGTGCAGCGGCCACCGCCTCCGTCCTGTGCACAGATCAGCGGGCCTCTGCCGGGGTACGCACAGTGGTGGGAGCACCCCCATGCCTCTGGATGAGCTGCCTGGGCTGTAATCGTCCCACCACCTGGCCTGACTACTGATCTACTTGGAATAAACAAGTAGGCGAGACCTGACTAATGGAAAATCTAAGCAGGTATTTGTTACACGTCATGAAGCAACAGAGAGAAGCACAGGTCCTCCCATTTTAGCCTGCTGCTCATCACCATCAACCAAGAGCACCATTTTAGCATGGAGACCCATATACAGCATTGTTGTTAAGCTAGGGTCCGACGTTAGTCAGAAAACCAGATGGGTGTCTAAACACTTGGAGAGAAAATGAAGAATACCCAGTGGCATCATAACAAACAACCATGCAACACTTCATGCAAACCACCAGTGAGCACAGATGAGAACTAGGTAACACTTTGTGAGAACAGAGACCAGGTAAGGGTGGTACAGCTGTAGACACACCTCGGTGACACAGAAAGACTGCTTACCCTCGGGTTTAGTGGTAGTACCATCTTTAGGCAAATTAAAAAAAAAATAAGGAAAGGGTTAACAGGGAAGAGTTAGTGATACCAACAGAAGTGGGCACTCTATATTAGCTGTGGAAATAAGCAAAATAATTCATACAGTTAAAGGAAAGGGGAACAAAAAATTTGGTTAAACGGCAAATCAAAGCGCAGAGCATCTGAACAACTTTGTTGGGCCCACAGCGATCGTGCACTGGGCGCACAACTTCGCTACCTTCCCTCCCTCTTATTCACCTCTGGCCCACTCACCCTTGCAGAAAAGTGCAGATGACAAATCATCACCTGCTAGCAACAGGCAAAGGAATTTGCTTCGTAGTCAACCCAGTCTATGTGTCATTTAAAAAGGAAACCATACAGGAAAAGAGCAGAGGGTATGCTCTGCTTTAGAAGTAAGGCTAAATACTGCACTGCCTCCCTCACGTATCCAAGCTTCAGAAACTCAGGCAAGGCAAACCAGCATGCAGTGAACTCTCTGAAGGTCTCGCTGCACTGAGTCTAAACCTGGCATCTAATATGAAGAATCATTAAGCCGCAGCAAAAGCTTCGCAACTACGCTACTGAACCAGATGCAGCCAGGAAGTTTAAGTCAAGACAAAGGTTTTGGCAAGAAATGAAAAGGAAGGCTGTCTATGAAATATGTCCTAATATACATCAGGCATGAGTGTCCGTTCTGCCAGACGGAACGGATAAAACGAAGCCCGATTTCCAGTCGATTCAGCTGAGGTTCAACCATCTACATAACTTAAGGCAAGGGTTTTCATACCTATTAGGCACCTGAGCCTCTTCTCACTTAACCTGGTGGAATCAAGGAAGTCAACAGAGTTGCATCAGTTCAAGGCTGGTGAAGTCAACCCCTAGCTCTGGTGATTAGCTCTGCATGGGTTGGTCAAGGCAAGCTATGGAAGCAGACTTGTGAAATGAAGCAAGTAACGTAGGACCTGTTTGAGATGCTTCTGACCTGCATGTCCTCATTCAGAGCCTGCAGCGCTGCCCAGAACACAAGTTCCACAGGGAACAAATTTCACTCCATGCACTGGGAACATCTGGGCAACAAAAACTGACCAAGAGGGCTTAGAGAAACAGCACAAAACAATTTAAGCTCAAAGAAAAGCCTGTGTAGGAGAATGCAGGTAGTCAATGGCAGTCAAGCCCTCCTCTTTGCTTTCACATTCCTTACTTTTTCAAAAATAAAGGGATCCAACTATGACCCTTTTCGTCCTATCCAAAGCATGGAACAACTCAGAAAACCCCTGAGGAGAAGCTACATGGAGGTGGGTCCTGCAGCCACTTTCCCCCTTCACTGCCACAGAAGCAAAGCAGCATCTCTTCTTCGCAAAGGAGAAGTGCTATAGAAAAGGAAATAGAGGACCCATTTCCTGCAAGGCCTGCTTCTTTGGGGAGTGCCTTCTTCCTTAACTCTAATGGGAGAGGACAGCTGATGGCCCCCTCGTTGAAGACCTGCTTTATCTATCACATTGCTTAACTCTGATGAAAACATACAGGACTAGTCCCAGACTTCAGAAAGGAGAACGTGTAGATTTACCTAGTGATGCATACGAGCCAGGTGGCAAGGCTGCAGCAGAGCTGAAGGGGGTGGAGGCTCCAGAAGACGTTGCTTTGGACTTGGCACTGGCTGCCGCGTTCACATCAATGTCACTGCGAGATCGCTGCAGAGATCCTGGCGTTGACACGGATTTTGTGCTTACTGTAGAGGCTGCAGGCAGAGACACAAAGTACAGAGCCATGAGGATGGATTCGCTTGACGATCTGCTTGGAAACATCCTCTCAGTCTAGCTCCCTAAGACAGTCCAAGTGTTCCTGGCTGTGACCATGACTGTAGGACTGGCAGAAAGCAAACAAAAAGGCCACAAGTAACTGTGCTCTCCCAGGGGTGGCACGGGTATCCCTTTCCTGCCTTATATGCATCTCAGCCTTGACCTGCAGAGACCACTTATGGGGCAGTTTAATCTCTACAGTGGATCCAAGCCTGCTGAGATACCCAACAAGGGCTGCCAATCAGCGACAGGTCTGAAGGTGGTTTCATGCAGCAAACATTCACCAGAACTCGAATGGCAAAACTTGACCTAGTTCTTCTGTAGAGCTAGTCCCAAGCTAGTGAAAACACGGGACAGCTCCTGAGCTCTGTTGTCTGAAGCGGACACCTATTTGCTGGAAAGTCTTTCTGGGGGATGAGGGAATCAAAGAGGCACCACATTACTTGGCTTTGTTATTACATGGCTCTGAATGACGCACTGCAGTCATCAAATGACTGCACATCTCATGCTGGTCTACTGGGGGGACTTCCCAGATGCCATTCTGCCAGTCCAGAGGCTACTGAACAGCTAAAATGTGTGCAATGCCCTACTGGCATTTTTGCTAATTGGCCTAGGTCTTTGCCTCTACCTTAAATTTCATATTTTAAACTTTTCCCCATTTTTATTGTATCATATGAGTGACTTATTGGTTCAATAAATAAATATGGGATACTTCGTCTATGCTGGGGTACATAGAGGAGATTACATAAAAACATGGAGCACTGTATACTAGAAACCAAGCAATGAATCACAGATTGTTCTGATCTGCTAGGTCTCCTTGTCTATGCATTTGTCAGTGTGGTTAAAGCTGCCTGTTTCTAATTGTGAGGTGGTAAAGACATCCCTTGGCTGCACAGCATTGCTTTATTAGGAGGATGTACTTTTGTGATCAACCTGGAATTTAATACCATCAAAGATCATAGAAATCATAGAAAATAGGGGTTGGAAGGGACCTCAGGAGGTCTAGTCCAACCCCCTGCTCAAAGCAGGACCAGCCCCAACTAGATCAGAGGATGGGCACAGAGGTTGGTCTCTATCATATGTAGAAACACAGAACTGAAAGAGATACATCTGGCTAGACTAATGGTCCACCTAGTCATGGTCCCAGCTTATGACAGGTATTACTTGGTTGTACAATACTATACCCTGGCTAGAATTCCCAGTAAAACCATTCTAACTTTGCCCTTAAAATGGAATCAAATGAAATGTATTTCAAGTGACTTCAAGTGAAATGTGTCATAGCTTTCAAATGCATCAGGATTTGAGTCATTTATGGGCCAGATATGTTGCACTGATGACCGGTACCAATTAATTTATTTAGCATGAAAGTCTTTTAACATAAAGCTCTATTTTTCCAAAGGATGACTTCAAAGTAAATGGAGGTTTCATTATAATCAGAATCACTAACTGCATGTTGGAATATTCAAAACTTTTGTTATACTTCATTACAAAGGTCCTGCCATGATTGGCTGTATTTCCTTGAGATCCTGCTCTCACCTCTAGATGTAGTGCTCCCAGTAGGACTTCTTTTGGCAGACAAAGGGCGGCTAGAAATTAAAAAAATATTAATAAATTCGGTGAAGTAAAATGGATATTTGAGTCACTCATAACAGGGACTATAAAAGTGCTGTCATATTTTAGTGCAGAGAGACAAAGATTTCATGCATACTGGACTGGGAGTTGGGATTGCTGTTGGACAAGCTCTCCACAACATTTTCAGACACTCTTCTGCATTTACAGCCAGTTACCTAAAATAATCCAGTGTATATTTATAATAATAAACTAGGACATTCCTCACATCATTCTAACACTTTTAAGGTGGAACAAACTTTGGAGTCCCAGGTCTTTGAACTGTGTCCCTTTAAAACTAGCCAAAATCTAAACATGCAACAGGAAAGCTATTTATTTTGCAGCTGTATAAGTGCAATCTTCCTTGGCTGCTTCTGCTCTTGCAAGAGAAAGAAGACAGACGCACACAAATACTTGTTCACTCCCCTACCCTAAGGATAAGCATGAGAAATTTTCAGGCTAAGTGTCTTTTAAAATGACCGTTACTGTCTCCTGTCCACTTCCTGATGGAGCCAAAACTACCCTGTTTATTCAAATATAAGATGACCCTGAACATAAGACAACTAACCAATAATTTGATTCTATATATGGAAAATGTGCATAAATTTGTTATAATTTTCAAAGTATAGAATATAATTATTTGCCTTAAATTTCTCGCCCTCCCACTACTTCAGCAGGAAAAATAAAAGGTGGGGGGTCAGATAGCTCCCTTGCCCTCTACCCCGGCAACTTCTTTCCCCTTCAGCCCCTTCCCCACCTCCTCACTGCTTTTTCTGAGCACATGGAACTGAGGGGCAAATTTAAAAAAAAAAATTACCTCAAAATCAACGTACCTGTAGTAATTTGCCTTGCAAGTACTCATAGACTTAAGTTCATCCAGAACTGATGCATATTATTGTTTTCAAACTGTGCAACTTTTAGCACAGGTATTCTATAAACACACTTCTAAGCAGCACTTTTGTACCTACTTATATATGGTACAAACTATACACGATATTAGTCCAAAGCCAAAAGACTCATGATTTACCATATAGTTCGTTGAACTGGGCTCCAGCAGAGTCAATAGCGTTTCAAGCCATGGTGACCTCACAACTCAGCACTATCCAGTATGTGTGTGTACTCCAGATACCCTCCACAAAGGATCTATGTGTTAACTGGGCCCCCACCCATGACTGGAACTGGGTGATCTTGTCACAAGGGCTGGGATCATCCAAGAAATTATGGACAGATGAGGCACAGGGCAACCTGGTCTGGCTCCACCTCATGGAGGGCAGGACCACACTAATCATATATGACAGACAAAGAGAAGGAGTGACAGACGGATTCTGGGTGAACTGTTTGAGGCCCTGCTTGTTGATGTTTGCCAGGAATTTAAGGCTGGGGAAAAATAGGAATCATTTGAAATGGGAAAGAAAGGCACAGCTGAGCTGTGAGAGTGAAGAAGTTGAAAGGCATGCAATGTGGCTCACCATGACTTGAAAAAGAGTCAGCACTGAGGGGGACTGCACTTAATGGGCTCTACTATGCATCTTATTCAAATGGGTTGCGCTAACCTATGCCTCAGCTTCTGAGTGCCAGCCTGCTATTGTAGTACCTCTAGACTGGTGCTTGTTCCCTCTTCGGGGAGCAACTCCCTTTTTTTTAAGGGCAACATTAAAAAAGGTTCCCCATCAGTGTGTGTGTGTGTGTGTGTGTGTGTGTACCCACACACATTTTATATATAAAAAACTTTCAGCTAAAAATAAAACAAACAATCAGAATAATCATATTTACTGAAACACAAGACGAGGTTCCCCCCCACATCAGCATGGGGGGAAAAGGCCCCTCATCTTATAGTTGCAAACAGAGAAACCTCATTAAATACATTGTCTGTTATTAAACTGCTGCCAAAAGCAGCATGAGCTCAGTCATGGAAACCAACGATGAAGTTGATTATATCGGGCAAACTTGTTTTTGGGTTTTTTTGTGTGGCCTTCAAGAAAAGTAGGTGGTTGCTCCCCCAGAAGGGAGTGAGGACTGGTCTGGAGGTACTGCAATAGCATTCTGGCACTCAGAGAAGCTGGAGCAAGCTCTGATATCCTGACACAAGAATATGTTTCATAGTTTCATAGTTTCTAGGGTCGGAAGGGACCGGAGCAGATCATCTAGTCCGACCCCCTGCCATGGCAGGAAGAGCACTGGGGTCAAA